ACAGCTCATGTAGTCACATGCAGAGGGTGATTTCAACGTGTTAAGTGTTTTATTGAGGTCCCTTTTACCAGAACATGAGAGCTGGGGTAACCCCCAAAGTACCCTGTAAAGGCAGAATCCACTCAGAATAAAGGACAAGGAAGGGAAAAAGTGACAAAGCAGAAGGAAGAAGCAAAATAACCAAAGCTATTAAACATGGTCCTCAGAAAAGGGCATTGTGCCTCAATGGGTTAGATGATTTCAGATCATTTCTATTTCTTTCTGATGAAAGCTCAAATAAGTGATTACAGAACAAGCATTGGAAAATATGCAGAATAGTGGCAGTACTCTTGATTGGCAATTCAACAAGTAGGAAATATAGCTCTTTAGATGCTATACTGGGAGTATTTCTCAATGCCACCACTAAGGATAAGAAAGAAATAATTAAGACAATTGTAGGGAAGGGAAGAGGAGTTAAGGAATATCATCTTATTATCTATATTAGAATAAACCAGGTGCAAACTACAAGTCAAAGACTCCAGGGCTAGTTTACAGATCCCGAAAGAGCTTAAGGTGGGGTGTAAAACTGATGATCCACTTGGGAAGAAAAAAATTCCAATGCATTAGGAAAGAAATAATAAGAAAAGCAATAATTGAGGTTCCTAAGGAAGCAAATGCTGTCTGTTCTACCACAGAAGTCAATTACAGAGTTTTCAGCTACAGTGATGGACCAACCTCCTGAGGTGTAAAAAAAAAGAAAAGAATCTCAAGGGGTATAGAAAAAAAAAAAATCCAGAGATATTATTTTTCTTCCTCCTCATTTTCTGGCCTTTGTCTATGTTGAAAAAATAAAACAATGTTATAAGCAAAAACAACTAAAATGTTTTTTGAGTCACAATAGCAACATGCAAAATGCATCCCAATGAGAAATTCGATAAAGCCGTTGAAACTTTTTATGCCATCACATTAGAAAAATGGCAAAAGTGCAATAACAGAGCAGTGAAGAACGAGCTTCACCCAAAGAAATGCTGAACAGCGGGAGCTTTTCTAGAATATTTTAGTTGAGTGTACACATCCATGTCACACCATCACTTCTTACTTAAAAACAGCTGCAGAAGGCTCCTGCTGCGGCTGCTGCCGTTAGCTGAAGCTCTGATCTTCCTGTCTTCATACAAGTCATCAAATCGCATTTCCTGCTGGAATTAAAGTAGCAGCCCCTGGGGAGTATGCAGCTACCCAATTTATATCAGAGAGAATCTGAAGCAAGCACCAGGACTTTTTCAAACTGCTTAATTTTTATTTATTTTTTTTATAACCCCCAAAATCTGATACGAGTTTTCTCCCTCTCTTCTTTCCAGGTATTTGCATTTTGAAACAATTAAAAGAAAACACAGAGATTTTAAGACCTGTGCAAAAAAGCTAGAAGCAGGAAAAAGGTAAGGGCAATCTCAGAGGCATCAAACCAAACCATGCCTATAGCATGCTAGTAGTTAGATGCTACAGATGGTATGTGGAAACTATGAAGGGCATTTATAAAACAACAAAAGTTGCAGATCATGACACAGAAGTATTTTGGCTCAGAGTGAAAAGAGGAGAGCAATGGGGAAACTGTCCTGGCCAAGTGCTCCAAGCACCCAGTGCCAGGCAAGGACAGCTAGAGAGTCACTGCTAAAGATTCCAGAAGCCAGAAATACAGGCAACTGCTTTTTTTTTGTTCTGTATTTCTACAGGACTTAACAGGGCAAGAACCAGGTCAATGGAGTGTTCCTAACAGCTATGATAGGTTATGATAAATAAGAGTTTGGAGAAGATCACATAGCATCCCATTAAGTAGTCTCTGCAGTTAAACACAGATATCCATAACTCAAAGAAAGTCTTACATTACCAGACATTCAACACTCCTTAGCCATCAAGCAAGGTAGAAACCAGTCTCTCTCTCTCCTATGTGATTCTTCTTTTTTTCTTTTAAAAAGGCTGTCACAAAGAATATCAAAACCAAGGCAAAGCTGCTCTACTTCAAAACCAAGGAACACAGAACCCTACAAAAGTATTAATCTTTTTTTTTCAAAGAATGAAAAGCAAATCAAACTAGAGCATGTTAAACTGTGCATTAGAAGGGCTCTCAGTCACTTCCAAAATTACTTGAGAACACATTATAATTAGCAAAGGTATGTGACAGTTTTATACCCCTCTATGATGCATGATTAAAGCCAGGCAGCCCAGCTCTGCCACAAGTTCTGCATGCCATCAAAACAGATGTGACAAGAACTACAAGCTGCTCTCAGACAGACTGTGAGAAAGCATAGGCAGATAACATTTCGGCCATCAAAGATGTAAGACACAATACAAAACTAATTAAACCTCAAAACCCCTTGGAGAGGTAGGCAAACCATGTTTTATATGAGGTTATATGAAGCATCCTGTGCTGGAGCCCCAGTGCTCCAGCCCAAGAACAAGGATGAGAACAAGCTCCTGCCTTTCTCTCTGAGGTGCAACAGGGAGTGAATTTTACAGCCTGGATATTAACAGCTCACAGCCTCAGCAGGAGGATGCAGAGCACAAATGACTGGAGAGATGCTGCAATAATGCCACCGTGATGATCTGTGAAACTGCTGATTTTTCCCACACAACACAGATACCTCCTGCCTGCGACAGAAAAGTATGGAGTCCTGGCCCACCGTGAAGAGCCAACTCTAAACCCCACACAAATTCTGCTGAGTATTGCCAGTACTCAGCACTGTCCACTGACTACTCGAAAATCAATTAGAGGCTAAACTCCTTACCACTAACTGGGGACAAACAGGGTACAGTAGGGAAGCTGTGCATCAGACAAGGCCAGTGCCTCTTGAACTGGGGTTAAAGGTGTTAGAAATAAATGTGAAAAGGAAGAAGGAGAATTTCAGGCTTTTGGATAAATATCCTGCAGTTGGTTTGTAAGAGTGAAACAGTGTGTCAAGTTTGTTTCTGAGAAATGTATCCAAGCCATCATTTTTATTCTCATTTATCTACAGATTTAATATTTAGACTACATCTTAATGCTTCTTCCTTCATGACTTGCCTCTGCATACAGCACCTTTCCCTCTGTTTCCGGATAGCCTCCCCCATTGCTTCCTCTGCAGTGCTTCAGAGCTCACCTCTCTAACATCCCAGTGGCTCCAGGCAGTTTTCCTGACCTACTCCTTCAGCCATTCCCACCACACTACTCCTGTCGTGCTCTTTTCTCGTTATACCCCTGCCCACGAGGTAGTTCCCTTCTACAGGAGGTGCTGCAGAAAGGGTGCAGCTGGTTTCTCCTCTGGGCACCTCACGCTTTTCTTAGCACAGCTGTCTGGGGGAGGTGTAAGTTCTCACAACTTCACTATGTGGCTTCACACTCCTCGGTTTCCTTGGGCACCTCTGGTACACGGACAGACACACAACAACACCCACACAGGTACCTGCCCATGCTGCTTGTGCACCCTGACCAGGCTGCACAAAGCCACAGCTCTTCCTTCTGAGACGGCATTGTCTCCTTGCAGATTTTGCATCCCAGAGTAAATCAAAGCTGGACCTAAACAGGCACAATCTGGGACCTACATAAAATGCTGAGTAAACATTGTTTAGCCATCACGTACACGTGTAACCTTCCCCAGACAGACAGACAACTCACCAATGCCCAGTGACTCACCCATGACTTGTCCCTGAATTCTGTGAGTTAAAACACTTGTGAAAGGGGAGGCAATTACACAGTGCAATTGCTAAGTGGACCGTCTTAGATCTGGAGAGTTTTAGAGAATCTCACAGTGTGGAATTTAGGAATTTCATAAAGGACAAATCTTCCACTGCTCACAAGGGTGAGCTGGTTACGGTGGGCAAAAACACTTAAGCCACTACTTTCTGATGGTTTTGGTAAGAAGAAATAAACTTGTTGAATGTTTCCAGGCCAGATTATTTTGCTCTTTGGCTATTTTGATGAAGAAGATATACATGACTGCAGTCCCTTTACAATCAATCTTCTCACCACATCAGTTTAATTCAGAGACAATAAATGCAGTACAGACGCCTGGTTCAGGTCCTGGTATTCACTGATGCTGAATGTCAACATGGAAATGCAAGAGAATTTTGTTTTTATATATATATACACTTGCCACCTACCTAACTATATAATCTTTGTTGAACATTATCAGTTAACTAGAAACAGAGCTTTCAATGCAAGCATCTATGGTTGTGCCTATGCACCACCCTAAGCCTCTCCACAACAGGGGGATCTTGGGATTGCTTCAAAGCAACTACATGTGTTGCCAAACTGTCTTCATCTCCACAATTATGCCCTGCTATTACATGATTCACAGAAGAACAAATAAAACACACTGCAACAAACCTTCCCTATCACTGGGAGCGCATTTTGCTGTGTGAGTGGCGATTCCCTAAAGAATGGTGTTCTACAGATGTCTCAGTTTGGGAGGCTACTTTAGTGGACGCTAACAAAGTGTCTCTGGATGCCAAAGCTCCAAAAGAATATGCCAAATCATTTTCCAACACCCTGTGACTGAAGTCATTCCACTACTCCTCTTATTTCTAAGAAAATAATCATAATTGTCCCTATGTAAAGCAATGGGATGTTACATGCAAGTGAGGTGGCTGCAGAGCAGGAGTTTTATGCTACGCAATACATATAAATATCGAAAATATATGTGATGATTTTAAAAACTTAGTGTGATATCACTTATTTGACCAAGCACAGTGCAGAGTATAACAGCAGTTGTGGGTGTTCACTGTAGGCACTGATGCTGCCGCAGAGCATCAAACACAGTTGCATGGCATCTGAACAAAGAAGTTTGCTTAACGGGTCTGCACAATTAAAAGCCTACAACTCAACCCAAGAGAGCTGGAACTCCCTTCCACTCGGTGAAGCATCTGGCCTGATTGCTGGTGGCTGCTGATCACTGCCATGTCATCACTCTAAAGCCGTGAAACATCCCCGAGACCGTGTTAATTAGCTCCCCTTGCAAAGTGCTTAAGCCATAGAGTGGGTTACTCACGTGATGTCTCTGCGCTGGTAACAACCTTGAAGAAGGCAGGCGATCAGGTCGCTGATAAACTCCACATCATCCCTGTGAAGAGCAGCTTCCAGTTCCTATTGAGCAGAAAGGAGAGAGAAAAACAAAAACAACCAATCATCAAACTAATTCCTTAAAATTTACTGCGAGCTCGTCAGAACCAGATAGACCCGAGCAGCCTCACATAACGTGTACAGCAGCAGAGTACACGCTAAGGAAGCCAGCCTTCCCCATCATTAAAAATACTGCTTCTACTACCTCTCTTCATTGCAAGAGTTTATGGGAAGACCTTGAAAGGCTTTTAGTGAATGTCAGTCTCCAGCCAGAAGACTAATGCTTTTGTCTGGATGCAGAAAAATAGGGTCCGGTGAGGTTGAGATACTACAGCCTAATAAGGAAGCCGTGATTTCTCCCATGTTCAGCTGATGGGCAGGAATCAACAGTTTCATTCTCCTGGTTTGCTTCCACTCACTGACACTGGTGAGTTCATTTAAAAAGTGTGCTCAGAAAGCGTGGCCCTAAAAGCCACTTACACAGAGAAGCAGCAGTTACAGATGGATTGCCAGAAATGGCTGAAAGCTAGCAAGCAAATGGCTCAAAGAAAAGCAAGCATTTTGATTCTTTAACTTAATTCTCTTTGGGTTACTTTTTTTCATAGTAAGAGAGAAAGAAAGGATGGAGGGATGTCAGACCTCATGACCCAAAGCCTCAACTCTTGATGAAGAGTATCATGGCTTATTTCAGGACAATGGAGTTCAAATCAAGATGCAATGCAGAAACTGATTAATTACAGTTTTATTTGTATGCCAGAAAGTCATTCACAGTAAGTAAAATCCACTTTCTATAAGACTTATCATCAGTAGCATACAGCACTTAACAAGATTTAATATGGATAAACAACATAGGCATAAGAAGCTATTCTTTTTGGGTTTCAGAGTAAATAATGGATTGAATACAAATTTCTACTTGAATGTTACTCAACAGACTGTTACACAAATGGCTAAGCTAATGGCTACGGAATAAAGGTTAATGGCCAGAGAATAAAGGATAAACGTTTTGGCACTTACCCAATAAAGAAGAGAAAGTGCTTTTTTATTAGACCGCAGTAACTGCAGTAATAAAATTATTGATAACAGATTGCAGATTAAACACCGCTTGTAGTTTTTTATTGGAAATGTATCAATGGCATATTTTCATTATCAACACTGCCCTTATTTACCTCTTGTGCAAGACCTGAAGTGCTTCACGAGCGGAAGCCTGACACCTGCCCTGTGAAGAATGTACTAAACACAGCTATTATGTGTGGAAACTCGAGGCAAGGAAAGGGCAGTGGGCAGGCAAAGCCTGACGCAGTATCCCTGCCACAGGGCCAGGGAAAGTCCCAGGAATGTCTCTTCTGGCCTCTAGATGCTTAATGACAAGTTAATACAAAAACTGCAGTTGCTGCTTGCCATCCCTTGGAGAGAGTGATATTACTGTTGCATAAATAGTAATCACACTATATAAATAGTCATTACAGAGTAAATTCACTTAGAATCATAGAATATCCCGAGCTGGAAGGGACATGCAAGGATTGAGTCCAGCTCCTGGCCCTGGCTCTACTTACCACTTGGTAAGTGGTTAGTATTTTAGAGGTGTTGACTTACTTTACTTGTAAAATACTTTAGTGGACATCTGCCTTCTATAAATACACACAGGAGAGGGGGGAGAATGGAGGACCTAAAGTATGTGATATGCTAAAATATCCCAGGTGTGTTACCACAGTACCACAGTAAACTTGCAACTTGTGAAAAACGACATATTAGAACCCAGAATAAAGGGCAGGGGAAAGTAAGTCTCCAGGATGTTCTCCCTGCTCAGTTCAGCCTCTCCCTCATCCACATTACACTTGTGCATTAAAGCTGTCAGTCAGCAGTCTGCCTCAGCTAGGATGTGACAGCCTTTTGTATGAAGGAATATTTAAACTGCTTCCCGTGAGCCTTTTCAGCCTGCTGTTTGACTAACACTCCTTAAGCAGTGGCCACAACTGGCTCAGATAGCCCCTATCTGCAGCCATTGTTTTCCAGGCCCGGGAGTGACCTTTACATTTTTTGAGTTGGCAGGTCATCCCAGGAGCCAGGGGACATTCCTGGGGCACTGGGCAAGGTGCAGTCTCCTGGGCAGGGACTAAAACACCTGGCTGGGTAGTTTCCCCCCTCTCTTGCTGCCTCCTTTCTCCCAGATGGGTGCTCTTTGTCCTTGTCTTCATAGCGGGTGCAGCACCATTTTGGGGACCTGACACAGCTGCTGAGAGATCTCACAGCTGCTGGCTGACAGGGGCACTGGGCACACAGACCAACACGGGCCTGGGTGCAGTCCTGGTGCCACGCTGGGTTACAGGGCTCTGGCACAAGCCAGGATTAATCAGCACACGCATAGCATGGGGGGTAATGAGGGTCCATCCTTAGCAGGCATGAGGCTGGTCAGCACCTCTGTGGAGAGACTCCCCACTGTGCTCCCCAATGCCATGGGTGCTGCCTGGAGCCCATCCTGGTCCTCTGGTCCCTACCAACAGGAACACCCACTGCCAGCAGCTTATGGTAAAGGTAGAGTCCAAGTATAACCATGATTACTGGTCTTGGAAAAAAGACACTGACGTTGTCCTGTACTGTTTCTGCCTACATTTTTTCTATCACTGCTTGAGACAGGATAAAAGCAGCGAGAGGAACTTCAGTTTCTCAAGGCTGGGTCCATTGGCCCTGTTTAACTGAATGTCATAATTTTCTATCCCACTGGATTCTCCAGCTTCCTGTCCCCAAACACTTAATCCTGGGCTTCCTCCACACACTCAGGGTGCTGTGGGAATGACAGGGACACCAGGAAGATGTGACGCAAATTTTAAAATCTCAGGACCGCAAACAAAGAGTTAGCATCCTCTCAGGTTTTCACCTAATGTTTTGGCCCACGTTTTGCAAGGGGAGGAATAAACTTTGTTTTTCCAGCCCTCCCCTCCAACAAGGGACAGCCAGCAAAGCAGCACGGTCCTTGAGTGGCACATCTGAGCAGGCCAAAGTGATGCCAGGTACCCTCAGGAGAAAGCAGCCACCAAACCCCGAGCCCTGGTCCTGAGGGCAAACCCTGCCCCAGTCACCCATCCCCACACTCCTCCAGCCTGAACAGGGTGAGCGGCTGGGCTTCCTCCCCACCACCATCCTCCCCACGCCTCCAATCCTTTTGTTTTTCCCCTTTTCTCTTTGAGCACTGAGCTGTGAGCACAGAAATCTGAACCTTGCCAAAACGCTTTGGGGACAGCACAGAAAGGAAACAGAAGAGGCAGCAAATCAGCAGAGGAAGGGGGGGGACACACATCTCCTCCTCCTCTAGCTGGAGAGAGCAACAGACAGGAGAAAAGCAGGATTCTCCCCCTCTCCAGCTGGCGTCACACCTCATTAGGGAAAAGCCTGTTTAACGTCTTTCCCTCCCCCCAGCCCGGTACTAAATCCCCCCTGAGTCAGGCAAGGACTGTCGGGAAGAAGTAGCCGCCAGAGCAAGGCTGGGAGCAAGGGTGACCACCTCTCCCAGGAGGAGCACTGGCCCAGTGCAGGGTTAGCTGGGGCGGGTGAGAGGGCACCAACCTATCCCTCCCCACTCCCTGGGAAAATAGCTGGCAGGGGTGGGCTGGAACAGAAGGGCCCGTTGCCCCATGCCTGCTGCCTGCCCCACACCAGGCACCCTGGCAGGTATGGTTAACCCCACCGGCTGGGTCTGAAACAAATGCGGCTCCCCCAGAGCTGCTGTGAGCATGGATTCAACTCCAACATCACCTGCATTTTGTGGCAATCACTACTTCAGTCATGCCCTTGACAGCACAGAAGTGCTGTGGCTTCAGGACATGTGGTGACTCAATCCCCACATCCCCCAAAGTATATGCCTTTTTGGTATCTGCCCTGATTTTTGAGAGGAAGGACAGTCAACTTTCTGGATAAAAGTCCACAAATGAGTCCACAGCAGTGACACCACTGTCACTAACCCAGTGCAGAGGTGATGGGGGGCTGCTGCACACACTGCACACACTGGCTTTTTGAACTATGGAAAGAAGCCGTCCAGCTTCCAGCTCCTGGCAAGCTGTTTGCTCAGGGGGCAGCCTCATGAAGTTTGGAGCCTTCATTTCAGAAGACAGGCTCCTCCCCAGTGTGAGCAGGCTATGTGCTGAGGTACAGGACTACAATTTAAAGGCTTCCTCTGTGCTGGAGCTGAATCATCTATAACCGAATCTGATGGACATAACCAGTTTAAGCACTGCTAAGCCTTGTCCAAGTTAGCCATCAGTTTAAAAACCCCAATCCCTTCAGCTCTATTTCCATACTGCTGCTGTTATCAGCTTTCCATTGCAATGCTCCCTAGTGACTCAATGGGCTTTTGCAGAGGCTTTAGGAGATCACAGAGAGCCACCACCCGGACGTGCTGAGCCAATCCCAGCCCATGCGCTGAAATTTCTGACTGAGTTGAGTCAGAATGTTCTTTTCCCCTCACAGATAATTAGTGACAACAAGTTCCCGGGCAAAAGTTTGGCAAACCCATGCCGAAGAGTACCAGGATTGGGTGGGAAGATGGGAAGTCAACTGCAGGTCTGAAATGCTTCCAAAAAGCACTATTTATCCCTGTCAGTGTGAAGTCAATGTGCGTGCTCCCCGTCCCTGGCGAGGAGCTCCTGCTGCCCTCCCCACCAAGGAGCCAGTTGTCCCAGGAGGACGCAGAGACTTGGGGAGGGGCCACTGCTCCTCCCAACACATCCCAGAGAGAAAAGCATAGCAACCTCCTTTTGGCCACAGAACACACCCAGCCACCGATTCACCCAAAGCAGCATCAGAAGGCCATTGCAACGAACAGCAATGTCCCACTGAACATGAACCTGGAGCTGAGGGGATGGGACCCAGCTACACCATGAGCCAGTTCCTCTGCCAATCCCCACAACTCAGTTTGTTGGTCTGTCAGTGTGCTCAGCCCCTACTTAGCATGCCTGAGAAACACAAGCCTCCACCCAGCAGCCAGCATGCTGCCTGCAGACCAGTGCCACATTCTTCCAGCTTGGGATTCC